AAAATGGCGGCTCCAGGGCGGTTATGAGGCCCCGTGGAGGTTTCTTTCCTTTCCCAGGCTCCGTCCCCCAACTGTCCAGGAATTTCCCGACCTGGTTTCGGCAACCCTTCTTGTGGCTCAGGCTGCTGGAGGGCAGACAGAGTTACCCGTTCTTCAGGAACTGGGTGGGGTGTTTCCTATCGCCACGGCAACAAAATGGCTGCAGCCGGGCTTCGGAGGAGCGGGGGGGGGGGGGGGGGGGGGGGGGGGCCCGACTGGGCGGGTGTCTGCTCCGGCAGAGCTCCGGCCTGTGCCTGGCACCGAAGGGGGGGTGGTTCCTCAAGCCCTCTTGTCAACAATGCCCAGGACAGAATGTTGCTTGTGCCCGATTCCCTTGGACGGGGGCATCCTTAGAGGGCCGCGGAGTGGCCAGTGCCAGTGCCTGGCCTGCAGTGCCCCCTGGAGGCGGAACAGTAAGGCAGCTGCCAGCCTGTTGAGAAAAGATTCCCCCAGTCTGTGTTTGTTTCTCGGTTTATTACATTGATGTGCCTGCCTCTTTCCTGGGCATCCCAAGGTGGGTAACGACAATATAAAAGCCAGAGAGGACGATGCGATGACATGTTTTACTTTTGTTTTCCACATGTCACAACAGAAGCCCCAACCAGCAGGGCACCACCCACTTGCCCAGGTCCCGGTTCCCCCCAGAGCTCTCCGAGAGGGCTCTCCAGACTCCCCAGACACACACAACGTCTCCCAGGAGGCTGTTCCGGAGGCACAGGGCTGTCATGAATGTGCCTTAGGCAAGGGGTGGGGGAATATTCAGAAGGCCCCAGGTTCAAGCAGAAGGTTAAAGGGACCGGGCAGCGGGTGGTGTGAAGGACTTTAGCCCGAGAACCCTGTAGAGCGGCTGCCAGTCTGAGCGGGCAGTACTGACCTTGACGGACCCCAAGGGGTCTGATGCCGTGTAAGGCAGCTTCCTGGGTTTACGAGGGCGGGGCCGCGGCTCAGTGGCAGAGCCTCTGCATGGCATGCACATTCCCAAGTTCAATCCCCGGCAGCATCTCCAATTAAAAAGGACCAGGTGGGAGGTGATGGGAAAGACCTCCGCCTGAGACCCCGGAGAGCTGCTGCCAGTCTGAGCAGGCAAGACTTGATCTTGAGATAGACCGGGGGGAGAATACAGCTTGCTGGGAAGCGTGAAGCTGCCGCACAGGAACCTGCTGCAGGGAGAGCCAGTTCCTTCCAATGAGGGCCCCCCAGGAAGGTCACGAAGGGCTTTGAAGGGGAGCGCCAGGGCCCGGAATGGGACCCTGACACTGATTGGCAAGAGGTGAACCCAGCTCAGAGTCAGAGTCACGTGGTCTCGCCACCCGGCCCCTGATCACAAATGGGCTGCAGCCTTTTGTACCTGCTCCTCTTCCCAGTTAATCTTCAAAAGCAGCCCCATGTACAGCATATTACGGCAGTCTAGCTCGGGGGTTCCAGGGCTCATTTCGTAGAAAAAGAGGTGCAGGAGCTCATTGGAATAACTCATTAGCGTAACTCGTTTGCATATGCCACACCCCCTGACGTCACCGGAAGCGTGTCAGAAGGCAACACCCACCGCTCAGGCTCCGCTGGACTGTTTTGGATTGCTAGCTATTTTTTTTGGGGGGGGGAACGTGCAGATCTGTCCTTGCTGAGGAGGGAGAGCTTGTACCTGAATAAAACCAGGTCTTAAAGGTGCAACTGGACTGTTTTGGGCCAGGGGGGAGCTCTGCGACTTACCTGGCTGCTTCTGGCTCTGACTGAGGGCTGCTGGGAGCAGGGGGTGGGGCTTGTTGCATGTGCCTGCCCCCTGGGCTCTTTACTGCCGGAGCTCTGCTCCTGTGCGCTCCTGCAGGAAATGACCCCTGGGGGGTTACTGAAGCATGGAGCCAGATCAGGCACCTGCCAATTGGGATCCTAACTGGATGTAGCTGGGGGGAGGGGTGATTTCACTGTCATGGATGTGGATTCCAGAAGAGCTGCGTAGTTCGTGGCAGCAAACCCAGGGGGCTCTGGTAGAGACCTGGAGTATCAGAGACACTGGGTGCATCAGAGGATGGCTGCGGTATTGATTGTTATCAATGGTGGCCCATAGCCACTCTCCTCACCCGGGGGCCAGGGACAGGAGCCTTGTAAAGGCTGGGCAAACGGGGGGGGGGCACGTGCAGGAATGTGTCCTGGGGCAGCCTTTGTTTAGTCGTGAGTCTGTCTCTCTCTGGTGGGGCTACACACGTTGAAGGCCGGCCTGCCTGCCTGCCTGCCTGCCAGCAGCCACAGCCTGCCAGGATCTGTGCCCAGCTGGGAGGGGGGCTCCAGGCAGACTGTGAGCGGCTCAGTCAACAGGGCGAGGGGCTTCTCCCAGTGAGGAGCCAGGCAAGAGCCACAAGCCCCGTGAGGCCAGGCAGGCCCCTCCTGGCCACTCAAGGCCTCTGATGGCTGGTATGTCGGAAGCTTCTCTGGCCCGCGGCAGCGGGGGTCCTGCAGAGCCACAGAGATCCAGCCCGCGGGTCCCTCTCCTTTCCAGCTGGGGGGGCTGTGCTGCCCTGAGCCCGCTTTGGCAGGGAGGGGAGGGTTAAAATCAAATTCTGCTTCCTGGTCACAGGATCACGTACGCTTCCCTAGATTTGACTCATTCATGCAGGGTGTCTCTGTGTTCAAGGTGGTTTTCATAGAATCACAGAGCTGGAAGGGAACTCCAGGGTCATCTAGTCCAACCCCCTGCACAGGGCAGGAAATTCACAAATGCCTCCCCTCCCCCACACCCGCAGCGGCCCCTGTTCCACTCCCAGAAGAGGACAAAAAAAACTCCAGGATTGCTTCCTGACCCCAAAGTGGCAATCAGCATTTCCCAGGGCGGGAACGAAGTACTGAGGTAACCCTTCCTTCATCCTGGCCTCCGTAACAGTTCTTGCTTTCCCCACAGGCACAAAGCAACATGTGCGCCTTTTTCCCCTCTACCTTGAAAAGTTCTACTTAAGTCGCGTGTCCAGAGCGGCTTACAAACTCCTTCCCCTTCCCCTCCCCACAACAGACACCCTGTGAGGTGGGTGGGGCTGAGAGAGCTCGGACAGAAACTGCCCTTTGTCAAGGACAGCTGTGCCAGAGCTTGTGACTGACCCAAGGTCACATCAGCAGGTGCAAGTGGAGGAGTGGGGAATCAAACCCGGTTCTCCCAGATTAGAGTCCGCACACTTAACCACGACACCAAACTGGCTCTCAAAATTCTGAGCCAAAATTCTCCTTTGTGAGCTGCTGGCATTGAAGGGGTGAGCCAGCGATTTGGCTGCTGCATAAACTAGTTTGCTCTGGAGCC